CGCCGTGCCCGTGGGGCTGCCCTCCCCTCCGACAGCGAACACCCCTCGCCCCACGGCACGGCGAGGTGCGCCCTCCCTCACCCCACCCGTCAGCCATCTTGCAGCCACTGGGCGAGTCGGTACGTGGGTGGGACAACGGGGCAAGCGAAAATGGGGGGGGGGGAAATAATAAATCTGTCATCCCTTCAAAATAAAAACCAAAGCGGTTGTAGCGGGTTGGGTCACCGTGCCCTGCCGCCCCGCTGGAAAGCCTCCAGGCCGGAGGTGGGCATGGCTTCCAGGGTTAGTAGGCTCCGTTGTGGTTTCAGGAGGGTAACGGGGCCTCAGTCCTCGCACAAAATCATCCAGAGACCGTTTCAGTGGGCTTTGGAAGTGAAGCGGGAAGCCGAGGAGGACAGCAGTGGGCAGCCAGATCTCTGTGCCTCTTGGGGTGACACCACCATGGAAACTCAGGGGAATACATCTCCAAGGGCATCCCTCACCGCTCACGTGCGTCCCTGCACCGAAGGCTCACAGGAACCAGCACAACACGAATACACAGCCTGCGCGACGAATCGGAGATGATCGGAGAAGAACAGCTACAAGGATGGTGGAGTGTGGCAGGCTAGTAAGGACACGGTGTACGTGGGAGAAGTGATAATTATATGGAGTCATGATGAACAGCCCAGAAACATCGGAATTGTGCACGCCCCTGAAGACAAGAGGAGCTTGTTATCACAGTCAGGGACCTGTAACCCAAGGTGAGAAGAAGATGTAAACCAGAGGTCACTGAAGCACCAGAAGCCAATGCCGATGAGTGGGATGTAGGTGAAAAAGGGAGCAGCTTGTGCACTTTTCAACCTGCAAAGCGTGAGAAGATACAGCACAGGAGGTGACTAAGCTCACTCCAGAAAGGTGGTACCGGATCAAGGAAGATTTGTGCACCATGGACATTTGTTTGGTGTGTGTTGGACAGGCGTCCATCACAGGAGCAAAATGCAAGTGCTGTGGGCAGGGAGCCACTGGCATAGTCTGTCCAACCCCACATCCTTGTCTCCACCACATCCTTGGGAAAACGCTGGCAGGCACTGACACAGGACTCCCCCAGTTTTGGGAACAGAGAAACAGAGCATGGGGGATCTGTGGTCACCCCTCCCCACTTCACCTCTTTCCCAACTGCGAAACTCCTTCCCACCCCCTTCCTTGGTGGTGGCAGGTCCCCCCTCCATCCTGTTTTGCAAAGGCTTTGGTGGGTTTCACTGCACTGTAACAACTCAGACAAAAGCTGGACTGAACTTGTCATGGATTGTTAGATTTTACCGTTTATCATAATGTGCCATCCTTGGTAGGACAGTACCACCTCCTGGCAAAGAAGAGGTTAATGCTGTCTGGCTTTGTGTTGAGCTTTAAGACGACTGCAATCACCCGTTTTTATTTTTGATTCTCCTGCATAAAAACAACTGCTCTTTGTAACCTGCGTGGCGCAAAGGACCCATTTCTTCCGGCAGCCTTTAAGAGAGGGGATAAAAAAAAGCAGAGGAAGAAAGTTTGCATTCAGCAAGTGCCAGGTTGTCAAGGTTTCCTCTGCTCTCAGACATAAATTTTTTCTTCTGACAGACGAAAGAAAGATTTAAAACTGTTTGGTACAACGTGGAACTTCAAAAGCAGCAATATCTGCATCTGCTACAAGGTGAAGAGCAAAGCTCAGGACCTCCTGTACGAGGCAACATCATTGCCATCATTGCACACATGGGAGCATTATACCGGGTTTGTGCTCAGCTTGTCACAAAGCTCCCCCTGCATTTGTCTCAAAATCCTGTGCCACTTTCAGCCCGGTTGCCAGAGAGGCCGTGGGCTGGTTTAGCCCTGCCAAGGACATGGGGCAGGCTCAGCCTGCTGGCCAAGAAAGAGGCTTTCACGAGGTCGCGTTTTTCAGCTTCCTTCCCCGTTTGTATTGCTTTCTGTTTTAATAAATGGTGGAGTGCTGGTGAAATCCCCAAGCACCTGATGAGTGTGGGTGTTAAACCAACACTTAAAAAAGCCAAATCAGGCAAGCTCGGTCACTGCTCCCTTGGCCCAGTGGCCATCCTGGATGTGATTACCAGAGTGCTGGTAGATGATTTAACTGATAAAGATTGAAGAGGCAGGATAATTAGCACCGGTCAACATAATTTTCTGGAAAAATCAATCTCAACCAAGCCTCATCTTGTTCTCCATTGGGACCACAGGATGGGTTGCCAAAGGTAACGGCACAGAGGTGGTAGGGGAAGCATCCAGCATCCAACTGCTGAGAGTACAGCCAAATGGTATGAATAAAATTAACAGATTCACAGCTGGCCGTCAGCTTGGATGCCAGGAATCAGTCAGAAACCACTGACCCAGCAGGTCTGGTTTCATTTTCTGTGCAGACACTTGACATTACAGAAGTGAGAGAAGATGTGGATGCAGCTGGAGAGTGAAGGGGGTGCGGGAAGGGGACAGCTCTACCCCAAGCCTGGCTCTGTTCTCCCTGAGAGCTCAAGGCTGCAAGACCATGCAGGTGAACCAACGTACACGGTCTGTCTGTCCCCTCTGGCCATCGCTCCTCAGAAGGAAGCTGCAGACATCTTCTTAGTAGCTACTTGATTCAAATGCCTAACAAATAGTGGGAGGAAAGACCCTGATACTCAAGGACTACAAGTGTTCCTCAGTTCCCACCAGCAAACTCTCCAGCCACTTTTCTCCAGCAAAAGCAGGGAAATCAAGGCTCGACAATGTTAGTCTCTGAAAACAACAAGCAAAAAACTTTCATGTTTCCATCATTGATCATCAAGAAGCCAAAAAGGCATAAAAGTAGAATTTTCTTCCCTTTGTAAGTGACTTTTAGAGCCACAGGCTTGACCCTGGAGTGCTAACAGGCAATGTGTCACAAGCTGGCTCGCAAAATGGCCCAGCTCCTGCAACATGCCCTGCAGGGCTGGCAACCTCCAGTAAGCACCAACATCTCGTCGTGCCTAGCACCTGTGGAGCTCAGGGCTGCCTGACACCCAGTAGCCCCCAGCTCCTCAGAAGGAAGCTGCAGACATCTTCTTAGTAGCTACTTGATTCAAATGCCTAACAAATAGTGGGAGGAAAGACCCTGATACTCAAGGACTACAAGTGTTCCTCAGTTCCCACCAGCAAACTCTCCAGCCACTTTTCTCCAGCAAAAGCAGGGAAATCAAGGCTCGACAATGTTAGTCTCTGAAAACAACAAGCAAAAAACTTTCATGTTTCCATCATTGATCATCAAGAAGCCAAAAAGGCATAAAAGTAGAATTTTCTTCCCTTTGTAAGTGACTTTTAGAGCCACAGGCTTGACCCTGGAGTGCTAACAGGCAATGTGTCACAAGCTGGCTCGCAAAATGGCCCAGCTCCTGCAACATGCCCTGCAGGGCTGGCAACCTCCAGTAAGCACCAACATCTCGTCGTGCCTAGCACCTGTGGAGCTCAGGGCTGCCTGACACCCAGTAGCCCCCGTTTCCTGCACGCCTATCGGCAGCGTGTCACACAGCAGCAGTGCCCTGGCTCCTTTGGTGGCCAACGCAGGCTCCCATGCTCAGCACAGAGAGCGCAAGGGAAAGCAATCTCATGTCCTGCGCGCTTATCTCCCAGATAAAACAGCAAGGCACTTTTGTTTATTGAGTGCCGATGAATGGTGCTGCCTTGGCTGCGAGATCGGCCTCCAGATCCCACTCTGGGCACAGCTGCTGGCAGGGAGCCCACAGCTGCAGCCGCCTATTGCCACAGGAGCCTTTCGGCAGG